TGACGTCACCAAGGAGAAAGCAAACAACGGGGACCATTTGATCGATTCCAACCTCAATCTCGGCAACACACACTTTGCTATGATGCATTCTTTTCGAACATCGGCGTACGCCACATATACGCAACATGCAAAGGGACCGACCTCGTGACGGAAAATCGGGCTTTCTTAGAGGGAGGCCAGGGCAAGAGGCAAGGTCGAATAACCTCGCTAAAGAAGGCCCCTCAACTAGGAACATGCAAGCCTCCAGCTGGGCTTGCTGCCAAGCCCAACCTTGAGCTGACCCCTCCTCGACGAAGCCCTGAGAAGATCACGAACAAGTAGCCCCGAGAAGATCACAAACACGTTTCTGAAGACTAAAGGACTCCTAGAGGGGGTCCGAGTAGCTGAGGTCGGAGGATCGTGCCGCATCGCCGATGCATCGGCGACGTCGGCGTGGGGAAACACGGGCTCCACATCGAGCCGCGTCGTCGATGCATCTGCGATGCGGCGCGATCCTCCGAACCCATCTACTCCGACCCCATCTGGGAGGCGTCGAAAGACTGGAAGTCTCTGGAAGTCCACAGAGGGCACCAGAAGCCTCCAGAGGTCCCTAGGGCCCAAGAAGGGCAACGAGAGACCAGTAAACGTCAATCTTCGATCTTCCTCGATCCTCCTTAGATGTCGAGTCCTCAATGGTGGTCCTCGTTCCCTGATCCTCCCCGACAGGGGGGCGGACGCCCTGGGCAAACAAAACCATCCTTGGCCCCATCGGCCGACCTACCGCCCCCCTTCCAGTGGGGACCAGGATGGGTGCCGCCCCCTCCAGGCTTCGCAACGCCCATCCCTGCCCAGAGCCCACGGGGGGGGGCTGCGCCGGGAAGGATGCAACCTGCCCTGCCTTCGTCGGGGCTGGGATGGTTCTGGCGGTGCGAACTGACTTGTTCAGCACGGGCCCCCCCGGAAGTCGCGACCCTTCCCCAAGGGCTGCCGCCGGGATGGGCGCGGGGGTTGCTAAGGGGGTAGGGGGCGTACTCGTGCATGCCAAGGTCGGTTATGTCTGGCCTAACCTACCTTCTACGTGGATGACAAATGGCCCAAGTGGCTTAAGGGGTTCGATGGTCCCGCTAAGTGGGCGGAGCCCACTTAACAAGAAGCGATAATCCCCCTGAGCCCCTTGGGGCTCTTGAAATCCACGTGTAAGCTCGGCGAAGCTAATCTAACCCACCCTGGTGTCCGCTGCTCAATCCCCTGCGCCTTGAACGCCCCCCGCGCCCGCGGCAACTGAGGCCGAAGACGTCCGAGGGCCGACCGACCCGAGCATAGTTAGTTTTCGGGCCACACCTCGGGCCTCTGGTGGCCGTGCCGGGACGATCCAGGCGGCCCCGGAGCGCCCTCGGCGAGGCGCCGCTGTTGGAACGCATCCTGGGGCAAGGGGGGCCGCCCGAAACTTGCGAAACATTCGATAACCGACCGCGAACCCCCGAACAAAGCAAACACCACCGTGCGACATACCCAACCCATCTGCATCTAGTGGCAAGGGGCCTTGGCCCAAATGTGCGTGGACAGCCGCAGCTCAGGCGCCGTCGATTGTAACGAAAGCTACATGGGACACGCGCGCGTTGCACGACTCACAGGACAGCGACAGATGAACGAAGAGTGGGGCCCCGAGCTGGAAGAAGAGCGGGGGGCGGGAACGAGGGGCAGGAGAAAGGCAGACAACGTGGTGTAAAAGCTTGCGCGGGGCAGCAGCAAGGAGACGGTGGAAAAGGGGACAGGGGACGACGACGAAAAAGCCGGAATGAGAAAGGATCGTTTTTGTTGTTCTTTTTGATTTGTTTTTCTTCTTTTTCTTATCTTCCCCATGGTGTGCTGTGCAAGCGGCGCTGCGCGCGCCACGTCGCCTCGACGATCCAGAGGACCAACTGTTCATAGCTCGTGCAGGAAGCGAACGATGCCCAGTTCGCCCGCCCGCTTCTCGGCTTCCTGGCTTTCTTCCTGCACCTTTCAGTGCGGGGGCTAAACGCCCGCAAGCTCGCCGACAAGCCTGCGGGCGGCCCGCGGGAAAGGAAATCCACGCCCGGGTCGCGTATCATCAGCAGGTTGTTCTCCGTCGTCGCCTTGGAGAACGTCGCGTAAGAGTTGCAGCCAGAGGGCGTCCAGGTCCTCCGCGCCCTTGCGCCCAATAGCGGCAATGACTCCGCAGTGCATGGTCTGGCCCTGGCATGCCGTGGACGTCACTCCGCTGGACTCCCCAGCAGCCCTCGAAAGTGGCGACAGCATCGCAGATCGCAACCACCCAAGGATGGCGAGGTCCAGCGTAAGCCCGCGTATGACGTCACTCCGCTGGAACCCCCAGCAGCCCTCGCAAGTGGCTACAATTTCGCAGATCGCAGTCCCCCAAGGATGGCGAGGTCTAGTTTTAATCCGCGTGTGATGTTACTCCGCTGGTCCCCCCAGCACCAGTCGAAAGTGGTGACATTTTCGCAGTTCGCAGCCCCCCAGGGATGGCGAGGTCGAACGTAAGTCTGCGTATGACGTCACTCCGCTGGGCCCCCCCTGCAGCCTTCGCAAGTGGCGACAATTTCGCAGATCGCAGCCCGCCAGGGATGACGGGGTGTAATTTCGATCCGCGTATGACGTCACTCCGCTGGGCCTCCTAGCAGCTCTCGAAAGTGGGAGAGTTTCGCAGATCGCAGCCCCCCAAGGATTGCGAGGTCTTATTGAGGTCCGCGTATGACGTCACTCCGCTGCTCCCCCCCCAGCAGCCCTCGAACATGGCGACATTTTCGCGGATCACAGCACCTCCATGGATGTGAAGATCAAACTTAGATCCGCGTAAGACGTCACTTCGCTGGACTCCTCAGCAGCCCTCGAATCTGGCACTAGTTTCGCAAATCGCAGCCCCCCCCCCCAGGGATGGCGAGGTCTAGCGCAGACCCGCGTATGACGTCACTCCGCTGGACACCCCATCAGCCCTCGCAAATGGCGACAAATTCGCAGATCGCAAACCCCCAAGGACGACGAGGTGTAATCTAGACCCGCGTATGACGTCACTCCGCTGCCCCACCCCAGCAGCCCTCGAACATGGCGACAAGTTCGCAGATCGCAGCCTCTCCAGGGACTGCGAAGTCTAAATACTTTCGATTCGCGTATGACGTCACCCCGCTGGACCCCGAAACTCCCCAGCAACCCTCGCAAGTGGCGACAGCTTCGCAGACGTAGCCCCTCTAGGGATAGTGAGGTCTAATCTACTTCTGCGCATGACGTCAGTCCGCCAGACCCCCCAGCAGCCCTCGAAAGTGCCGACAATTTCGCAGTTTGCACCCCCCCCAGGGATGGCGAGGTCTAACGCAGACCCGCGTATGACGTCACTCCGCTGGACTCCTGGACCCCCCAACAGTCCTCGCAAGTGGCGACGGTTTCGCAGTTCTCAGCCCCGTAGGGACGGCGAGGTGCAAGTTAGATCCGCGTATGACGGCACTCCGCTGGCCCCCCCAGCAGCCCTCGAACATGGCGACGGTTTCACAGATCCCAGCCCCCCGAGGATGGCGAGGTCTAATTTGGATCCGCGTATGACGTCACTCCGCTAGACCCCCGGCAGCCCTTGCACGTGGCGACAGTTTTGCAGTTCGCAGCCCCCCCCCCAAAAGGGATGACGAGGCTAAATTTAGATCCGCGTAAGACGGCACTCCCCTGAACCCCCTAGCAGCCCTCGAAAATGGTAACAATTTCGCAGATCGCAGCCCCCCAGGGACGGTGAGGTCTTCTTGAGGTCCACGTATGGCGTCACTCCGCTGGTTCCCCCAACAGCCATCGAACATGGCGACAATTTCGCAAATAGCAGACCCCCAAGGATGGCGAGGTCTAACTTAGGTCCGCGTAAGACAGCACTCCGTTGAACCCTCCAGCAACCCTCGAAAATGAGAACATTTTCGCAGATCGCAGCCCCCCACGGGATGGCGGGATGGAATGTACGTAGGTCCGCGTAAGACGTCACCCCGCTGGAACCCCCAGCAGCCTTGGAAAGTGGCGACACTTTCGCAGATGGCAGCCCCCTGGGGATGGCAAGGTCAGGCAGGACGACGACGTAGGAGGCAGGATGGCGGGCAGGACAGAAGGCAAGATGGCCGGCAGGATGACAGGCAGGAAAGGAGCAGGGAGCTGGGAAGGAGGCTTGCGACCGACGTGCTCTGTTCAAAACGAGCACCCAGCGCAGGAGGGGGTGGGAAACAACAGCCCAGCTTGTTGCACGGCGCGAGCACCGAGCGGCGAGGGCTGCCGCGCCCGGTCCTCCGCCAGCGGCGTGCAGGAGACCCCCCGCGACAGCGTCAGCAGCGCGTCGCGCTCGGGGCTCTCCTCGGGCTCGCCGCCGCTCGGCCGTCCACTCCCCCGCGCATTTTTCGGCCTCGTGCGCGCATTTTTCTCCGCGCGACCAGGACGTCTGGCTAGATCGGAGCACTGGCTCTGTGGACTCAGTTGCGAATCTGGGTGTTGTGGCCGCCCGGAGGCGCGCGCCATCCTGCGCACGGGGCGGCGGGCTTGATCAGAGCTCATCACCTTTTGAAATTCTAGTTTCTCGTGGTCCCGACAAACGAATCGCAAGACGATCCTCGAATGCTCCTCGATGGCCCTCGCCGAGGACAAAAAAAAATGCCCCCGTCCGAGCGAGGCCAGAGGCGGGAGCTGCTCGCTCGAGAGGCGTGCCGCGCGAGGCGGGAGGCCGCCCCGCGCTCGGCCTCTCGCAGGAGTGGCCCTGCCTTTAGGTCGAGCGCGTCCGCTCACAGGCGGATTGCTGCGCATTCTCTGGGGGTGGAGGGCTCCAGGTGACATCCATGTGGGGTTTCGCACCTCGAAGATCAATCGCAACGGCATCTCAGATTTCACCCTTGGCCCTCCACCCAAAGAGAGCGCTCGGGATTTCGGAAGAGAAAATGGCAAATAGTCAAAGCATGCACAAACACAGTCCAACATGGTCGAAGAATCGTCTCCAGACTTTCTTTGTGACTACTTTTGAGTGTTGCTCCTGTAGATGGACATGCCCGACGTAGCCCTACGTGGCAAGAGCGGCCTCTGGCGCGTGGCTTTCGGAGGGGCGTGGGGGGCGCCAGACCCCGGCGCGCGGGCCGCTGCCAAAACAGTACCGCGCCGCACGCGACGGTCCAAACATCGCAGGGGCCCCCTCGGGGATGCACTGCCCCGGGTCAGCACACACCCTGGGCCAGTCCGGCCTTGCTGAAGGGGAACTGGGACACACAAATAAATACACACAAATAGAAGGATTCCCCATATTTTCTGGGTCTCTGTCTTCCCCCCCACTTCCTGTATTTTCCGATATTTTCCTGGGAATCGATGATTAACATTGTGTCTGTGTGTTTCTTCCCCTCCTGACTTGCGAGATCCCTGCAGGGCCTCCTGGAGGCTCCTGCGGGCTCCTGCGCGCTGGCCCGGGCCAGTGCAGCCCTGGCTTTTTGCAGGATCCTGCAAGAATCCGGCGCCCTGGCGGGCCCCCGCTTGCAGGGACCCCCGTCTCGAGGCCACCCGCACACCCCGGGGGGGCCCGCGCCGAAGGTGACTCCGGCGAGGGGGTCACTCCTCACGTGCCGGTCCACCCGTGGTGGGCTCGGGAGGCCCCGAGTCGTCGTCGGAGAGCTCGCCCCCAGCGTCGCTAAACATAAACATCGCGGCCTCGTGAAGGAGACTGCCCTCGGCCAGGGCCACACGCTGGGCCCGCAGGGTGGCGCAGCTGTGCACCCCAAGTCTCCGGCGGCATGACGCTCTCAACCTCGAAGCTTTCCCTCGATGTCGGCCCTGGGGGGGGGGGCTCCCAAAAACGGATCCGGGGCGAAAAACTACCCCCTGGGGAGGAGGAGGAGGAGGAGGAGGAGGAGGAGGAGGAGGAGGAGGAGGAGGAGGAGGAGGAGGAGGAGGAGGAGGAGGAGGAGGAGGAGCTCCCAAAAACGGATCCGGGGCGAAAAACTACCCCCTGGGGAGAGGGTGGGCCCCCCTGGGGCTGCGGGGAGACGGTCTCCCAGCAGAGCACCCCGATAGCAGCAGAGGTGAAGAGGCGGATCGGGGAGCAGGAGGAGGCCTGCTGCAGTGGACAGGGGTGCGAGCACGGCCCACGTGCACCTGAAGTTTTGACTTCTCGAGAAACGTCGTGGCTGTCTGGGCCAAGCGCGCAGCTGGCATCGCGGCGAGAGGAGGCCTCCCGGATCACCTGTGAGGAGGCCTCGGGCGAGACGGCCGTCCGGGAACGGCGTCCTTGGGCCGCCCGTCCCCCCGTGGGTCCTCTGTGTGGTCCTTTCTTGCCTCCACCAGAAGCCTCTGTCATCAAGCGCTCTTCGGGGAAACGCTGGCTTGGCGGCGCGCACAAGGGGGTGGAGGGAGGGGGGAAGGCTTCTGAGAGGGAGGCTGCTTCCCAGGAGGCGCCGGCCCTGCATCTGCAGACAAGGCCCGCGCCTTCTGAGAACCAGGGGTGGTTTGAGGAAAGCTTCCCCCCTCCCCCTGCACCCCTCTGCGCGTGGCCGATTGGCATCTCTTGGTCTGAGAACTTTTTCCTCCTGCCCGCTTCCGCGGGTGGGCCCGCCGCCGTCTCGCTTCCGCCGCCCTCCGCCGAGGGGGATCTATCATCTCCTTCCGTCGGGGGTGGGCAGGACCCGTGAAAGCTGCCAGGGGCACTCCGCGTGCGCACGGCACTGCACTTCGAGTGCACCCCTGGCGGGGTGGCTATGCCACGTCCAGAGAGCAGCCCAACGTGCCTGGCGAGGCGCGCGTCGATGAGCGAGATCGGCCAGGGACTGCACGCTTGCGCTCGGTGCCCACACACACACACGCGGCCCCGTCTTCTGCGCCGCTCAGCTGAGCGACGACACGCGGCGGCTGGCGCGGGTCACCCGCACGGCACACCGCGCGGAGATGACGGCGCTCACGCGCGGCCTCACGCGGGCAGCTCACGCGCACAGTGTCGGTGACGACGACCCCGTTTTCCCGCGCCGCCCAGCTGCGGTGGGGCTCGAGCAGATCTGCCTCTGCAGCGCGGGCACCGAGTGGAGCGTCCTCAGATCCCATTTGAGCTCTCTGCTGATTATCTTCTACAGTCGGGGCGTTGACCTAAGGAACCCTAAATAAGGAACGAGGCCCCTTTTTTCCATACATTGAACTTCGATTTCCTATCGAAAACATAAGGAAAACCTGAGGCAAGCTGTGAAACACTTAAGGAACGCGGAGCCCCTCCCAAACGAAAACGGTTCCTTCTTCAGGGCCCCGACTGTAAGACGAAACCAGAGCCCAGACAAAATCGGATCGGGACAAATCGGGGATCTCTGAGATCCGGCAGTCTTGGTACATGTATCGGGCACCACCGTCGTTCCAAAGGTCTCAAAAACGTTGTGAGAACGTTCCAGAAGCTCTGGAACGATATATCTGGGTCCTAGCCCCGCCAGGTCTAGATACTCTTTCAAACACCAAGGCCCCCGATTGCTGTTTTTTTCCGCTCTCGCGTGGGGATCGCCGCGTGACTTTCCCCGAAGTCAGAATTCAGACAACAACCTTGTGTGTTTGAGTTGATGCCGTCGGAAGATCACACCGCCTCGCAGATGCATCGACTTCGCCAGGGTGGGGAAACTCGGGATCGCCCGACCCTGCTCACTGTGGCCCCATTTGGGCGGTCTGGGCTGGCGACGGAGCCGACGTCGGTTGTTCCACGCTCGCTGCGCGACAGGCGGGTCATGATGGGTCAACGGGACGTCCATGGTCACCGAAACAGACTAATGGCCTCTTGCCATGGACAAGGCAACCTGGCCACCTCATGCCACCCCGCACGAGGGGGTCACGAGGGAGCCACGGACAACGGGCAAACGAAGAGAACACGTGTATTCCATTCCACACGAGGCGGCTGCGGGCGGCGAAGCCGAAGGCTGAGCTTCCAATCTGAAGGAGCGAGCCGAGAGGTGGAATCCCACCCCCGATACTGGCCATACGCCGACGAATCAAGCTTCACATTCCAGACTATACGAGGGAGCCACGGGCTATGGGCGATCGAATCAAGCCGTCGAGATTTCACCCAACACGAGGGGTCACGGGAAGCCAAAGCGAAAGTGACATGATACTCCACACGCAGTGGACCACCGAAACTGAATCGGAAACCCAGAAGCCCCGAAGGGGCTGCAAGCCACGCGCACACGAATCGAACACCTGGACTCCGCCCTGGGCCGCAAACGACGGGCAAGCAACCCACTCGAGAGATGTCCAGATTCCGCCTCACACAAGGGGGTCACGGGGGAGTGACGGGCCATGGACAACCGAACATGAAAACCGAGGTTCCGTCCCGCACAGGGAAGCCCCGACGGGGCCCACGGCTATCCGAGCTGCGAGGTGCAACCCCCATGTCGCACGAGGTGGCCAGGAAGGCGCCGCCGGTCACGACAGTGCCACGGACTCCCGAGGCCGAAGCTGGGACCTCGGGAGAGGCGAAGTCCAGACCTAGAGGAAGTCCGTGCGGAGACCGAGCACTCCGTGTGGACTTACTCCGTATGGACCTAGCCTCATCTCAAGAGAGGCCAGGTCCAGGCGGAGTACACCCTGCGAAATGCTTAAGAAATCATGGGTTAAGAAATTCATAGTCTCAGATCTTGAATAAAAACCCAACGTTTCTATTAAAAACTCAGGATTTACATTGAAACGTTAAGAATAATCGAGACTCTGGCCGAAAACTCAAGTTTTCTTAAGCATCGCCTAAGGTGTACACCCAGGTGGAGGCCGAGCGCTCCATGTGGGCTTACTCCGCGTGGACCTGGCCCCCCGCTGAGGGAACCCACCCCGCAGGAGCAGAGGACACGGAGCGCCGCGATCGCAGCCCGCCCGAGGGCACCGGGCAGCCGATGGAGCATCGAGGTCCCACCGCGCACGACGGGGCTGCGAGGGAGACGTGGGCCACGGGCAACCGAGTCGAGCGCGGCGGTTCCACGCCACGCGAAGAAACCACGAGGGGGCCAGGAGGGCGACGTTCTGCCCAGCACGTAGGGGCCACGGTCAACCAAAGCGAAGAGCGGGATCCCACCCCACACGACGAGACCGTGAGGGTGCCACGAGTCACGGCCAATCGAATCGAAAGCTGAACCACCTTGCTAGAGGAAGACTTTCGACGGTTCGCGCGGATTTCCTGGATCTGCGCCTGACCCCCCACCCTGGCGCGCGGAGCGTGCTAGGGGCGGCGCCGGAGGCGCCCCGAGGGGGGCCCGGCGCAGATCCAAGAAATCCGCGCGGACCGTCGAACATTTATGTTTATGCAGCTTTTTCTCCTTCGACTTGCACAAGGGCCACGAGGCGGCCACGTGCAATCGCGACCATGTATAATCCCCCTCACGAATAGGGGGCATGCGGGAGCCACGGGCCACAGGCAACTGGGCCAAAGCATGAACTCCAACTCACACGAGGGGGCCACGAGGAGGCTACGAGCAACATCGGCAAACATCGAATTCGATACTCCACTGCTTCACACGAGGAGACCACGGGCCGCAGGCAATCGAGTGGAGTGTTCAGTTTGCAGCCCGCATGGGGTGACACAGGGCCAGAGGATAAGAATTTGTATTCGACGTACCACGGGGGGGCCGCAGGAAACAGAGTCAAAAGTTGAAATTCGAACCCGCCCGAGAGAGCCACGGCCAGCAGAACGCCCCGCCCTCCCCAGCATGGCCCAGATTTCACTCGGCTGCGCCCTGAGGCGACGTCTCCTCATCCAGGGCTCTTCTGTTTTCTACGGGCTCGATCGCAGGATACAGCACGAGTCAAGACGCAAAAAACGTACCTAAGGGCAGTCGGCACCGCATTGTGTCGCCAACATGGGTGGCTCTAGAAACCCTGCATCAACCAAATTTGAATCTCTTGGAAGGCCGATGTCTCCTTCCGCGGGCTCTTGCCATCCTTCCGCCCGCTTCTGCAGGCGGAGAGCCGCCCCTGCTCTTCGCTGGCCTCCCGCCGGGGCAGATAAGGCAAGCTCGGGGCCCCTCGGAGGCGAGCGCCGCTCTCTGGAGCGCGTGCCGTGCGCAATTGACGCTGCGTCGGCGTGGGCCGCCGCGTTTCCGCCCCAGACCCCCGGGGTAACGGCGACACGACGCTCCGCAGCCACAGCGTTCGGCCGTGTCCCGCCCGACTCCCGCCAGGGCCGCAGGCAACGACGCAGAGGCCCTGCCGCCCCAGCCTTGAATCCCTCTCCACAACGACAAGGGAGCGGCGGCCGTGCCACGGGCAAGGATCAGAGAAGACACCTGCGATCTGATACCCCTCCTGGCCAGTGAACCACCAATGGTGGGACAATCCGCGAATATCTGCGCCGCCTTGGCCAGATGTGGGGTGTGCCGGGACGCACCTTCGACCGTCGCGCCCAGCTGCCCGTTGCGATCGCCACGTGGGGGATAGCCCTCCTGGACGGCTACAGCCATCGTGCTACCAGCAGAGTTGACCGAGGCAGGGAGGGGCCTTTCTGGCCACGGCGAGCCTCGGCCACAAGACGAGTTCCCCGACCCAGATCAAAACCAAAGCCGCTCCTGAACCCCTCCTCCTCCTCCTCCTCCTCCTCCTCCTCCTCCTCCTCCTCCTCCTCCTCCTCCTCCTCCTCCTCCTCCTCCTCCCCCTCCAAGTGCTCCTGAAGTCAGCGTCTTGACTGTACTGCCACTTGCCACTTGCCGTCTTGGAAATACCGGCTGCCTTCCACTGACGCCCGTGCAAATTGGAGGCGGCCAGGGGGCCTGAGCTGGACCCCGAGATAGTCGGCCAAGCGGGGGGGAATGAAGGCAAATTCGGTCAAAATTAGTCCCTGGACCCCACTTGGGGTCCATGTGGGCAAATTTTAAACCGCAGATCCGTTTTTGACGGTCCTGGGGCCTGAAAACGGCCCCATGCAGGGGGGACCATGCAAAAAGACGCCTCGAGCACCGAGCCTCGAACATCTCCCCTCTTATGCTGGCCAGAACCAATGCTGGGCAATCTCAGACCCTGAGCCGGCTCCAACGTACATATTTGACAAGCACAAGACCTGCCCCAACACCGCCCCGACAAGCCTTCCGAGCTGGGTCCAGTCGCGGAAGCAAGCCCCAGCCCGATGGGAGCCAGCTCTGCACCTGCATCCATCCTGGCAGTGCCCATCTTGGCCCAGGGGATCGGCCTGGCCAGGCTCGGCGTAGGTAGAGGAGGACGAAGAGGAGGAGGAGGAGGAGGAGGAGGAGGAGGAGGAGGAGGAGGAGGAGGAGGAGGAGAAGGAGGATAATCTAATATCGTGATGTTGATGGTGATCATCATGATGATCAGGCTGATGCTAATGATGATGATGCTGATGATGCTGATGCTGCAGATGATGATGATGACGATGATGACGATGATGATGATGATGCTGATGATGATGATGATGGTGATAACGATGATGCTGATTCCGATGATGATTATGATGATGCTGTTGATCATGATGATGCCGCTGCTGCTGAGGATGATGATGAGCAGGTTGATAATACGGATACGAATAACATTACTAACATCAGCAATGCAGATAATGATGGTGACGATGAATATGCATATGATGATGAGGATGAGGATGATTCGTATGAGACTGACTAGGATAATGCTGACTATGATGATGGTGAGGGTGCTGATGATGGTGATGATCAGGATGAAGAGGATGAGGATGAGGAGGCGAAGGAGGAGGAGGAGGAGGAGAAGGAGGAGGAGGAGGAGGAGGAGAAGGAGGAGGAGCAGGAGGATGATGACATATCATGGCGAGCGAGAGAGGAGCGCTCGGGCGGCGGCCCCGAGGCCGCCTCCAGGCAGTCGAGCCGGGCGGTGGCCCGGAGCCCCAGGCGGTTGATCAGCCGCATCGTCTCCTCCACGCCTCTGCCGGGGGGTCCTCCTCCTCCTCCTCCTCCTCCTCCTCCTCCTCCTCCTCCTCCTCCTCCTCCCTCCTCCTCCTCCTCCTCCTCCTCCTCCTCCCCTCCTCCTCCCCTCCTTTCTCTTCCAATCCTCCTCCTCCTCCTCCTCCTCCTCCTCCTCCTCCTCCTCCTCCTCCTCCTCCCCCGCCAAACATTTTTTTTCGTCGGCGGCGAGGCAGAGCTGGCTGCACGAGCGGCAGAGCCTGACCGGGGGCACCGGGAAGCGAATTGGCCAGCGTGCCGCGATGGGGGGAGGACAGTCGACCCCCGCCGAACATCGATTCTGCTGAATCGATGGGGGGGGTGGGGTTCAGATTTCGCCACGTGTTCGACGAACTCCAAGCCCTAACCCCGCCGGCCATCCGAGTCGCCTGACTCGTGAATCGGCGAGGGGAAGGTTCGGGTTTCGCCGCCGACCAAAGCCCCCTCTCGTCGCGAAGAAGACTGTGACGGAATGAATTTGGCCACTCGATCGCATCGTCTGTGTCCCTGGTTCTGTTCGTGTGCGCTGGTTGTGTCCGTGAGTGGGCCTGCCCCCAAGCACACCCTCGAGGTCTACACGATCTGAGGGCTCTCCGACCGCCCCCCCCTGGCCCTCCCTTTCCTCGCCCCTTCCCCGCCTGCAGCCCACGTGCCTCCATGTCGCAACGGACGCGTCCCGCCCTTTGCTGCACCGCCTCTTGGACCCAGCTCGCCGCAGACAACACCCGGAGGAACACCGGCCCCTCTCCGGCGCCCTCGCTTCCCCTCGCGAGGCCCTGGGCCGTTCCACGCGCGAAGGGCCCGCGCCGAGAGCCGGGCCCTTGGGGCACACTTCTCGGATGCCAGCGGCCGCACGCGAGCCGCAGCGGGCTCGGGCGCCGGTCGGGGCACGGGCGGGGCGCGCGCCTCGGCAGCGAAGTGGGAGTGCCATGGGGCACGCGCCGCGGCACGGAGCATCCCCCGTGCGGGAGCCTGGAGTCTCACACCGGGCGTCTTGGCCCCGCCTCGGGCCCCCCCGGGGCCCTCCCAGCTCGGTCCGGCTCGAGAGGTGCCGCAGGAAGGCGGGGTTCGCGGGGCTCCGGGTCGTTTTTTTTTTTTTTTTTTTTTTTTTTTTTTGTTTTTGTTTTTTTTTGTTTTTTTTTTCCCTCCCCCCAAGGGCTGCAGCTGTGTGCAACGCCCGCTCTCACAGGTGTTCTGGGTGCGGTGCGCCCTCCGCTTTGCTTCCTGGGTGCAGGGCGGCCAAGTCACCTGCGAGCGCCCGCCAATGCTGAAGGGGCCGAGGGACACACGAAGAAATAGAGACAGATCCCGGGATCCCGAATTTTTCCAATGTTTTCTGGACTTTCGTCGTCCCCTCCGCTTCCCATGCTTCCCATATTTACCAGGGAGCCGACGATTATTTGTCTGCGTCTACTCGTCCCTCTTGAAATGTAGAGGAGCCCGCCGCAAGCGCCGGGTCTTCTGCAGCACGCTGTGGGTGGGTCGCGGGACGGGGCGTTGGCGCGTCGCGGTGCCCTAAAGCCCGTGCGAAGACGCCCGCCGCGGGCGGGGGGATCGCGGGTGCGCGGTCAGGATGCAACTCCTTTGGAAACCCAGGTTGAAGCCTCTTTGGGGGGGATGGCCAGCGAGAGTGGCCAAGGATGGGCCGAAGAGTGCAAGGATGCCAAGGACGGTGCCCTCCGCATCGGCAGAATGGAAGCGCGGTACCTTCGGTTGTTCCAAGAGACTGACCCGCCCGGCCGTGCTGCCGACAATGCTCGTTCGGGAGATCAATGACAACACGTGGTGCTCGATGGTGTAGTATTGCGCGTGCCCGACATGGCCTGGAACTCTCGACAGCATTGAACAAGACACAGAAGAAGCAGAATACAGACGGACACCAAAGACCGATCGCAAACAGGATCCTCGAGAACCGCTGTCATAATCTCCCGATGTGCTGCAATATTTCTCAAGAGGAACAAAAAACGGCATAAACATAAACTTTTGGCACCCCCTTAATTATCTGGCGCGCGGAGCGCAGATCCAGGTCGCTCCAGCGCAGATTCAAGAAATCCGCGCGGAGCGCCAACAAAATATGTGAATGCCGTTTTTTGCCTCGGAATCGAGAATCGCTGCCAGAGTCTCCCGATGTGCCGCAAGATTTGTGCCACGAACATGCTCTCGTGACCGGTGGTTCCGCGATCGGAACCCTAGAGCCCTGCCGAGAGAGGACAGCGACGAGCCTCCCCGCGAGCCCGCCCCCCGTTTTGCAGCGGCGGAGCACCCTTGGACAGCACGCGGTCCACCGCCTCTGGGAAGTCCCCCGAGCGGGACAGCCTCCGCTGCAGCAGGACCCGCAGCTTGGGGTCCCGCTCCATGGCGAGCAACACCGGCGCGGTCATGCGCCCCGTCTCCAGGGACATGCGTATGCTCTCCAGGCGGGTGTCCTCGGGGGGGCAAAACCAGCCTCAAAGACACGCCGCCGTGGCATCGGCGTGTGAATGTGGAAGGAACAACGGGCCTTCGGACAGCATCGAAGGAACAGGAACAATACGCTGACAGGGCACCAGCGGCAGAGTCGTTGATACTCTTCTCTTTCTCCCTCTCCACACCTCCGACGTCAAGATATTTTCATGACGTCGACCCCCAGAGGTCTGGACCCATTTCGCAGGACTGGTTTTCATCCCGAGTTTGCTGACGGTCCAGGGCCCTGGGAGGTCCAAAATAGCGAAAACCTCTGGTCCCCGCAATCCGCGACCACCCCGCGACCCAATCCACGACCCACCCCACGACCCACCCGCGATCCACCCGCGACCCACCCGCGACCCAACCGCGACCTAACCGCGACCCACCCCGCGGCCCACCCACCCGCCCCTCACTCTTACTTGCAATTTCGGGGTGCTGCGTGCTCGTTCTCCCCCCGAGGCCTTCAGCAGGTCGACTATCAGGCCCATGTCGGAGCCGAACTCCGCGAGCTGCTGGGCGATGTCGTCGTCCACCCCGTTCACAAGCGCAGGGCACACGGCGGAGGCGGAGAAGAAGGTCGCCACGCCCGCCGTCTTCTCGATGTCCAGGTACTCGCGGATGCTCATGTTGAGGCACCAGTACAGCTCCTTCTGTTTTGGGGAGGAGGAGGAGGAGGAGGAGGAGGAGGAGGACCAGGAGGAGGAGGAGGAGCAGGACCAGGAGGAGGAGGAGGAGCAGGACCAGGAGGAGGAGGAGGAGGAGGAGGAGGAGGAGGAGGAGGAGGAGGAGGAGGAGGAGGAGGAGGAGGAGGAGAGGAGGTGCGCGAAGAGCTGCCCAGAACCCCACAGAACGCATCCCAGGCAAGGCTCCTTCTTTCGCAGCTGGCCATCGCTGAAGGCAGAGATCGTCTTGGCTATTATCTTCCGGCAAGCGCGGGAGTCCACGTTGGCCAGGGCCCACTGCGCGGTGGCGTAGAGCGAGTCACCGCCCAGGAGCGAGACCTTTCGCTTGTCTGAAGCGCTGCTGGGTTTCGACTTGGTCGACTGCATGCTCTGCAGAGATAGGTTCAGCAAATCCATGCCATACCGTGTCCACAACATCGGGTTGGCATCCAATCCGACGACGGCCGACTGTATGTTCCGCTGGGAGATTACCTCGGGGTCGGCCAAACTCTTCATGAGGGCCGTCGCAACTGCCACGAAACTCTTTCCGTCTGCCTTCAGCTCCGTGTCGAACTGCTCGGCGTGGAGCATCGCAGCAATGTACAATTCCTTGCGAATCGGGTGCCGTCGTCCCTGTGGATGCGACCTTACCTTAGAGGTGCCTCAAGTCAATCACTGAAAATTATTGGATTGATGGGCGCGTCCAGCTTTTGAACTCCCCAACCCTGATCAGATAAACTCCAGGCCCCCAAAGGTCAGGCCACATCCTTGGGGCTGCGGGTTCCCAACCCAGATCCTCCACTACGGTCGCAATCTGCTCGTGTACCTCTGAGGGCTCCAATGGCGGCAACGAGTCAGGGACTCGGGGCAGTGTAGCTTTTGCGACCAAGAGGCTGATGGAGGCACGCGCCAAAAGGAACGAGAGGAACCCGTCAGTCTGCAGCGCCTTCTCGATGCTGCCGCGGTATTTCACAGGGACGCGGGTGGCGAATGTGCGCAGGTTCTGGGTCACATTCAGGATGTGCGGTGTCCGAACGCTCTCGATGGTGTTGACAAATGAATTGCTAAACACCTTCAGAAACGATCTGGCCAAGTCGTCCGTCACAACCCTCGTGCCGCTCTTCTGGCTGGCCCGAGACGGTAACTGATCCTCCTCGAACAAGTCCTCAACCACCCGCACGGCGTTCTTGCATCTCAGCCGGCTTCGCCTGGAATCAGGACTGCACGCGCACACATGTATACACGCAACACCAACATCACTACCAATCATACGACGAGAAATACTATTGCCAGTATTGAGATTGTTACTAATAATAAAACTACTACTAATAATCATGATGCTGATGCCAGTGGTCCTAATACTTGTACACTACAAGCGCTATTCTTCTGACTAATAATAGCAATGCCACTACACATACTACTAGTGGTAATATTAATGCTAGCACGGTTAATGCTATTACTGAAATGAAGAATCATATTATCAGTACATTTAAATTTGTGAACAATATTATTAATAATGATATTACTCATAAAATTAATTGGAATAATGCGAATTCTAATATCATGCAGGACAGTAGTAGCATACATTGTGTAGGTGCATTGGGGGCACCATTCGCGGGCATCAAGACACTAGACACTTCGCGCCGAAACCAACATAGAACGATGTGCTTTAACGATCGTGCCACTGCTGGTAAGCCGCCTGCTCCTGAGGTATGGGCAAGCATCTTGACCACGAGACCAGCAATCTCTGGAGCCAACCCTCGCTGAATCGTGCCCCTCGCTGGTTTTTGGTTCATAGCTCGGCTCTCCGGCGGTCCTTCGGGACGATCCTGGCAACCCTGGGGCGCTCCCGGCGAGGCGCAGCTGCTGGAACGCATCCCGAGTCTTGAAAACCGCCAGGAACCGACGAACAGACCGAAAACCTCCAGCCCCGAACCCCTGCTTCCGCCGCCAGCGTCGGAACGCATTCCGAGGCCTGAAAGCCGCGAGGAACCGTCGAAAAGAGCTGAAAACCTTGGGCCGCGCAACCCTGCCGCCGCCGCCGCCGTTTGCTTGTTCCTCGAGGAGAATTGGCGGCGCGCACGAGGGGGTAGGGGGAGGGGGTCAGGCTTCTTGGGAGGCCGCCGGCCCTACCATCTGTGAGCCAGGCCCGCGCCTTCGAAGAACCACGGGTGCTTTCAAGCAGCCTTCCCCCTCTCCCCCATGCCCCCCGTTTCTCCGACCAGCCATAACTGGGGGAGCTGTGGTCCTTACCCTCCTGGGGGAACCCATCGTATCGACGATCCCTCGAGAGGGGTGGCGAAATCGATGGGTCCCCCAGGGGGGTAAGGACCACAGCTCCCCCAGTTGTGGCTGGCCTGTTTCTGCGCGCGGCCGAGGAGGAGGGCCGCCGCCGACGCGGCCGCCGCCGCTGCCGCCGCCGCGGCCGCCTGCGCTGCCCCCCGCGGCGGCCCCGCGCCGTCGCCCACAGCCCCGCCGCCAGCGCGGCGTCGCCGGGGCCAGGGCGCCGGCGGCCGGGCGCCCGGCGGGGCGAGCCGGCTCCTGGCGCCCGGAGGGAGGGGTTTTCGAGGGACTTGCGACTTCGGTCGGGCTGGAGGGAAGCGCTCCAGACCTCCTCACCCCTCCTCCTCCCCCTCCCCCTCCCCCTTCCCCCCCTCCCTCCCCTCCCCTCCCATCCCCCTCTCCCTCCCCCCCACCCCCACCCCAGGCGGATTCTGGGCGAAAAGCTGCACACGGTCTTAAGCATGCGCAAGCAATGCTCAGCAGGAGTCGAGAAAGCGTCCCCAGGCAATTGTTCTGCTCTTCTTGAGCCTTCTTCCTGTAGAGTGACGTGCCCGACTGCACTTTAGAGGGAGAAGAGAACGGCACATGTTAAACATTTGGAGCTCTGCGCGGATTTCTTGGATCTGCGCTGGGCTCCCCTGGCGGCGCCTCCGGCGCCGCTCCTGGCGCGCTCCGCGCGCCATGGAGGGGGGTCCGGCGCAGATCCAAGAAATCTGTGCGGAGCTCCGACAAATCATGTTTACGCCGTTTTTTTTGGGGGGGGGGGACTTGCCATCGCTCGGACGTCCGATCCCCGTGAATTCTACGGCTTCGTGCGCTTCTTCCTGGTTTCCTTCGCAAGGTGACCCGAAAAGGCTCCTCGGTGGTCCTCGCCGAGAAGAAATGCACACGTCCGAGCACTGGCAAGGAGAAGGGAGGCTTCGACGCCTTCCGACGCCGACGTCGACGTCGGTTTCGACTACGGCCGCCCGCTACGACGACAACGAGGACGAGGGCGGCGGCGACGAAGAATGCGTCGACGACGACCACCACGACGACGACGACCACGACGATGACTACGATTGCGAGGAGGACAGCCGAGACGGCGACAACGTCCGCGTGCCCGCGCGGAAACAAGCGTGCTCCGCTGCGCGCCCCCGCGACTGCGCGCGAGGCCGATCCGGGGCGACGACGGGAATCGAGATCTCCGAAAATGCCATCTTTCAATCGCGGCGTTTATCTTTCAGGGAAGGGGTCGGGACCCTTGGGGCCACGCATGGAAGCCGTCACGTCGGAGGATGTCTGGGAAGGCGGTATAGGGAGGCAGGAGGAGATGGAGGAGGAGGAGGAGGGGGAGGGCAGTGAGTGCGTAGGTTGGGTAAGGTAGAGTGCAGGGAGGTGGTGGGTCAAGTGGTAGCCAACTGAAGGTAGAGAGTTGTCCGTAGGAGCAAACGTGATGGAGGCATGGGAGGGCTGCGCCCCGCAGACGGCGGCTGCAGCCGTCGAGGTTGACGCTAGGAGGGGTTGGAGTTGGTGCTGGGGCCCCTCGCGGTGAGGGTAGCCCGCGCCACGGGTCCTGCGCCCAGTACTTGGCAAAGGATAGTCGGTTGCCAGGCGTTGGGCTGAGGTCATTGCCGTGTTGCTACTGTTCGCAACGCCCAGATTCCGCCCATCCTTGGGGGGACAGCGGAAGGATGTAGGCATGGTTTGAGTGTGGTGGCGGGTTGGTAAGTCACTGACGGTGGTCGTGGATGCCTTCGCCGGACCCTGCGTCTGCAGCGGTGCTGTGTGTCTCCGATTGGAGTTTGCAAAGGCCCGCGGTCCTGTCGGGGTAGATGGCGCGGTACACTATGTCCAGCAGGACGTGGCAGTACTCGCCCAGGTCCTCCGTTTCCACGGTGAAGCGAAGGTTCACGATGGCGTCGGTGATGCTGGCGATGCTCGCTTGGTAGTTGATCATGCGGTTTCGGTCGACACAGTGTCGGCGTTTCGGCTGGCGTCCTGACCGAGGGCGCCTTGGGCGCGAATGCGCTCGTGCTGTGCCTTTGGTCAGCTCGCTGGCGCAGAGGGGAGTCTTGGTCGAGGACGTCGTCCCACTCGCTCTTGTCGCAGTAGATGATGTCGGTGTGCAGTTGCATCTGTTACACTTGCCGCCCATGGGGTGTCCCTCCATGCACCACCTCTAGCCGCAGTCTCTGCGCATCGCGATCGGGTCGTTGGTGGTCGGTGCAGGGGTGTCGTTGCTGGAGCCTGGGTGGTTGCCAGCGGCGCATAATTTGTGCGCGCCGTCCTGTGTGTCCCATAGCTGCGTCAATGTCGTGCCGATGTCGCTGTAGCCCGTGAGCAGGTCCTCCGCGATATCCTTCACGACTTGGGCTGCCGGCAACAACTCTTGTCTGTGCTTCGTGCTCGCCTTTGATGACTGCGGGTCAGGGCGGCTGAGCGGGTAGATGGCAAAGAGGATGTCACCGCGAAGCTCCTTGTGGTTGTTGTTGTTGTTGTTCTTCTTCTTCTTGTTGTTGTTGTTGTTGTTGTTGTTGTTGTTGTTGTTGTTGTTGTTGTTGTTGTTGTTGTTGTTGTTGTTGTTGTTTGTTGTTTGTTGTTTGTTGTTTGTTGTTTGTTGTTTGTTGTTTGTTGTTTGTTGTTTGTTGTTGTTGTTGTTGTTGTTGTTGTTGTACTTCTACTTGTGCTGGTAGCGCGCCGTGTGATTCTCGGGTGGTATAACGTCGATCACCTCGATGGTCTCCTCGGGTGGGGCCCCGGCGGTCGTGTTTTGACCACCGGGCTCGTCGCCCGACCTTGAAAGGGGGGGCGCTCTGCGGATGGCGATGTCGCCCGTGGCCTCGTTCTTATGGCTGGATGTCTCCTTGCACCCGTTGGTCATGTGCCTCTTCCAAGGCGATCGGAACCTCCAACCCTCTGGGGGCTCCCAGATTGTCTCGCGCGTCTGTGGATTGTGGTAGTGAGCCCGTGCGGTGTCGTGGTGGGGGTAGGTTTTCGATGGGTGCGGAAGCGCCCTGGCGTGTAATGACGGCGCTGGAAGCCCGCCGTCCAAGTTGTGTGGCTCCGTCTTCGGTGCGTCTGGCTCGTAGATCAGAGGAGCTGTGCGGACGTGCGTGTTGTTCCTGGGCGTCATGTCGATCGGCTGCTGGGCGGCCATCGGGTATGTCGTCCATCGGGGAGCGTTCGTGGGGGCAGGCTTTGCGATGGGTGCGATGGCTCTGCTTCCGATGTGCTGGCAATGATGGGAGGCCTGGGCACTGTCCTCGAGCTGAGTGAAGGTGGGTGGCTTCCGCTCGATAGGGTCGATGTTTTTCCAAATGGGGCATAGACTGTGACTCCGAAGCATCTGTGTGGGGCCCGCGAGGGTGAGCAGATCGTTGTGCTCGAGGTCCTGGTTGAGCTTGTATGACTCTCGCAACTCCTTCAACTTTTTGTCCACCTCGATCCTGTGCTCTCCGGTGACTATGTTGTAGTTCGTCATCTTGATCTCGAAGAAATTTCCGAAAAGCGTCACCCTGGCAGCTGGCTGCCACGGTGCTGCGTCCCTCATTGGTCTCGCAATAGGAGTGGGCTCTCAGATCGGCATGAGCTCCATGTCCCCATTGTCCGTGTCGTCGATCGTCCAAGTCGTGGTGATCTTGCCGACGTCGTGTGCTGTGTCGGTGGCTGCGTCCATACATGCTCAAGCGGGTCCTGCGCGTTGCAATTCTCTGAGTTCTGCTGGCCAGGTAGACGGGTTGCATCCTGCCCGAACCCAGCGTCATTTCGATCTGCTATTCTGGTCCCAGCGGTAGCCTGTGGGGCGCGCTGTGGCGGTCCAAGTTGTCGAGCTCGTTCTGGTTGTGGCCCCCCGATGGATCGCCTGGGAGCGTGCGTGGGCCTCCGTTGGTCCGAAGCGTGGTTTGGTGGACGTCCTCGGGGGCGATGCAGACGTCGGCAGTGGGGTGCATTACTTTGGCGCCCGTGGTCTTGATGACGTCCCCTAAGGAAACGGATGCGGCCCTCGCCTCCGAGGGTGCCAGCAGACTGTAACCCGGCGCTGTGCCCGCTGGTACGAAGCCAGCGCGAGGTGCTCTATCATGCTCGAAGTGGTTGCTGTGACTTGTTTTCCTCTGCTTCGAAGGTTCGGCATTTGGTAGCCTGTTTCGCATGGGCGCTGTGGGTTCGCTTGAGGTTGGTCCACTCCTTGTCGTGGTGGCCCTTGAATGGGTGGGCCAGCGCCACCAAGGGTGGGTCCTGCTCAGCAAACTGCCTTGCCCTGTTAATGATCATGTTATCACGGGCAAAGTCTTGCCGCGTCCTTTGTGTCCGGGCCTGCCCCCTTGTCGCATCGCAGTCGTCCGTGTGCTGTATGACGATCTGGTAGTGGGGGCCAGTTGTGAGCACCTGAGCCAGTGTCGGTCCAAGAACAGGCAGTCATCCGAGTGGTAATCGACTTGCAACCTCAGTGCCTCCTCCATGCGCTCGTGGACTTTGTTCTGTCATCACTGGTCGGTTGCGGGCAAATGCGCCAGTGCCACATGGTCGTTGTAGAGGGTGTTGCTGTATCGGTCGGCTGTATTGGACGCCAAATACGTCGGACCCCAGACCCCAGTAGACCTCGATGTATGTGCACTCGGTGGCGAGCTGCTGGGGTGGCACTTGGGACTGTGAGCTCTTCTTGACTATGCCCCTGCACGGCTCGGCAATTCCAACCTCCAGCCTTCAGTCCTCGTTTTGGATGTAGGTGTGGGCGTAGTGTGGGTCGCCGTGTTTATTCTGGTATCCTGTGCTGCATGTCCTGAGAGATGGTAGGTTCGGGTCCTGAAAGCGCAATGGTGCATTCTCAATTCGAAAAAGATTGCCGATCTGTTCCATGGCCCTGACGCGCTCAGCATTGAAGGTGCTGGTGTCCTTGTATGAGGTGTGAATGGCGACGCTGATGTTGTTGGCCATCGCGAACTCAAGAATAGCAGCCCAGCCGTTCCTCGTCGTCCAATAGCCGTAGTTCTGCAAGTCCCCCTCGTGGCTCCTCGTGGGCCCAATGTCTCGCGGCTGCTCCATGTCATTGCCGGGCGGCCTCGGGTGTGGCGGCCGATAAGTTCCTGCCATGACGTTCGCTGTTCAGGCTGTCGGTTCCTGTGAGGTCCCTTGAGCCGAATTTGCGCTGTGGAACGTGGGCCCTGGTCTGTACTGTCATGGCAAATTGGTAAGGGGGATATGATGTCAAATGCTGTTGATGTTCGCACTGTGGCACTGCTGGTCTGCCGTGC